TATATGTTACCAATATACATTGTTTGAGTTTTATATTATATTTATACTATGGCACAATAAGAAAGGTTGCTCAACTTCAAACAAATGAAACTCTGCGCTGGAGTCTTATAGTGTTAAATAGGCTTTCAAATATGTAACAGTAGACTTTGTTTAATTTTTTAATTTCAATTTTTTTTATTCTTATATTGGGGAAAACCCGGGAAACAAGAATGGAATTTCGGGGTTATTCCACAAGATTGAATCTAAAATAGTTGGACAATATAGTTTTATCCCAAAATTTTACAATGTGTTACACATTTCGTCGAAAATTTGCAATTATTTTGCAACCAATTTTGAAATAATTTCAAATTATTGTATTTTTTATTAAAAACAATACACACACATACACCAAATGTGTATTTGTTTTGACAGAAGAAGGGCACCAAAAGAAAAAATATATATTTGGGTGGTAGCTTTTTTCTACCTTCTGTAATTATGCCATGATTTATACTACTATAGTGAATTATATAATCGTAAGAACGTCAAATAAGAAGATAAATATCAGTCGATGATATTCAAATACGCAACAAAGTAAAATGTTATTTTAATAGCTCCTTCGCAAATAAAAAATTGTCTTACTTTTTAACAAAACCTTTTGCTGAGCATCCACTGAGCACATAAATCAATGACTATCAAATATTTGTGTTCGGTTATTAACCTTAGGTTTGACATTTGTCGGGTTTAGTAAAAAAACCTTTTTTATTTGTTTGCATTTTATATTTTTGACTTCATATATATGTACATAAATTAATGAAGTGTGTCTTGCGGTGTTAGTCGGATGCTTTGCAAAGACAGAGTATATTTTCTTCAGAGAACAAAAGCAAACAATAAAAAAAAGAGCATTGACATATATATTGAACCTTGTACGAAATGATTCATTAGAAAAACATGATCAATTAAAGAGGGTTCAAAATTGACATGAGGATCTTCCACGAAGTGAAATTGCTATAATATACGTAGACTCTATTAAAGTCAAGTACCGAAGATGAATATAATTAGCATTTCATTTCATTTTTTCATTTCATTTCATTTATTTACCTTACAAAGAAATATAAATAAGCCCACAGGGCCCATAACTTATATTATCTATCTACAATACCCTAACATAATACAAATTCAATGATTAATTCAAACTTAACAAATAACATATTAAACCTAATAATTTATCTTAATAATTCACGAGAAGCTCGAACCCTACACCTCGATTCACCATCACCAACTAAACAATAGTCTAGTAGAGCAGTGAAAAAGTGTAGCAGAAACGAGCTAAAAATAAGAGATAACTATTTTATTACTCACAAAACAGAGTATAAATAGTAACTCACATTATACCCTACAAATAAAATTAAGAAGATAATATAGTGGCTCCCCAGCCCAAACAAAAAGAAAAGCAAAAAGAAAGACCCATAATAAACCGACGCAACCACTACAAAAACATAGCCTACATATTTAGGCGAAGGTATTCAATTACTTTAACCCTAAACAGATAATTGGTATGGGCAAAAGTACGTAAGGCCAAAGGAAGCTGATTCCACAATCTCACCGCCCTAACCACAAATGATCTCTCACCAATGGAGGACGAAAACCTTGGACACAACAATTGAGGATTTCGAGATGATCTACAAAACACAAAGTTGTCACGAAGAGGCGAGTCAAAATTGCACATAACACTGTAATGAAATTGAAGAATACGAAGATCAACGTAGCTGCTAAATGGCAATCCCAGGAGATCATTAACAAAACAAGAAACATGATCACCACGACGCAAGCCATACACATAACGAACAATCGAATTTACCGCCCTACGGATACGTTGCATTTGAGAAGAAGTAGTACCGGAGACTACCTCTAGACAATAATTTACCTGCGATAGCAGCAAGGGTACAACCACTCTCTTCCTAACATGACAAGGCAAATAAGCATTAAGACAATACAGCCTCCGCAGCTGAAACCTTATACGACAAAGCAAGGAATCAATGTGTCTCTTAAAGTCCAACAAATATATGGATGTAGCTTTTCGTTGGTTTTTCTAGCCATTCATTCGGAGTAGTAAAAAAATGTCCATCACAAAGTAACATTTATTTGTGGCATTGAAAGAACATTTATTTCGATTTACATGCCCTTGCAAAAATGATCGGTTAGTACTCTGTTTGGAAATGAGTTTTGCATATGCAAACCAAATCAGAATATGATTTTGAAAGAGAATTAGAATACCGAAAGTAGGAAATAAAACATATAAAATTGGAGTTGTTCTGAAGTAGTCATCACATTGTTTGTAGCCAATACAGATACAGGAACAATGTATCCCTTTTTCACATTTTGATTGCATCCAATTTACAGTCAAAAGGAATCGGAAATGTTATTTTGGCAATGGCATTTTTTATGAAATAATAATTAGATTGTAATGTGAAAGCATATATCATATTATTGTTTTAAATACTAATTTTGAACGAATTCGAGATTTAATATTTAACAGATCGAATGCAGTGCATTTTGCATCTGGGTAATTTGTTTTGCAGCAGTAATTTGTTTTGAAAAAAAAATAAAAAATTTAAAGAATCAGCATCACATTTTTTAAAAAATATGTTTGTAACTACTTTGTCTAATAGGGGTTTAAAAAGGTGGTCTTAACTTCTTTCTAAGGTTTTGTTAAGAATTTCGTGTTCCATGCAAAATATAGTCTGTTCCAGAACCTGCAAGAATCTACTAGTTTTGCAATTTTCTCCGATATCATAAAGGGAAAATCGGTTATCGTAGTAAAAATTTCTACATTCTTTGCAGTTCTGCAACAGACCAATATTCTACTAACAATTCAAAGTATCATTGGAAAATAGCATAAATGTTGTAATGGACAGGATGCGAATTTCAGCATAAAAAATATTCGCTATTAAATAGAAATTTTGCGTATTTTCACTCAAAAGTTATCATCTATTTTACCGCTTAAATTATCTGATCATCATCCTAAATTGTGGGTTTCTTTTCTGTTCTAACCTATTGCAAAACTCTGTCGTCGATCGACTTACAATTACGAGCTGTGGAACGACTGCAAAATAAAAAAGTATTTTTTTTTTTCATAAATTCTCTTTCGATTTGAGCTATTAATGACCCAAAAAGATGGCATTGAAAATTGGAATGTAGCCAAATGTTTTCCTTAGATGTCCTCCATATAATTTCGTGGCAATTGATCCACAAGAGATATGTCTACTAATATACTAAAAAGTTAATGTAGAACAACTATATCGGAGAATTACAGAAATAACATATAACAACCATTTTTCGACGACGACACAAATCGAGGGCGCTTGTTGCGAATTTGTATTCTAAGTGTCAATATCTATTACCATACAGGCAACACAGGTAGAAAAATAACGTAACAACAACCACATACAAGTTTGTGTTTGCACGTAATACAGATACGTCCAAAAATGTATTAATTTCAATAACATATTTTAAATTCAAAAATGTACTTTTTCGGAATATGGATTATTGAATTTAAAATGCAGAAGAATAGATTTTATAACATTTAATTTTAAGGCTTTCATGTCATACCCCTTTCAAATTGAAACCAAACTGCATATATAAATAAAGTATTTTACATTTTGCAATTTTAGGAAATTTACGACTAATTACCTAATGGTGGTGTCGCTGTTCCTTAAGCACGGAAAAAGTTTCCGAATCATCGCCTTTGGCGTCTTGATAAGTATAACATCGAATTTTTCTATTATTAAGCAAGAAAATGGGACGACTACGTAGGCTCTGATTTTTCCGATAGAATTGTTGATGTCGACTGGTATTTGCCCAGTGTTACTTTTTTACAAAATAAAATAAAAGTGGAAAATCCCAAAATAAAAAATTAAAATCAAATTAATAAATTAAAGAGTTGGAAAAAATAAAATAGTGCCAACGTCGACAACAAGTCATGCCATTCCAAAAGTGACTGCGGTGTCGGCGTCGACAAGTAGAATAAGATGAATACCCATAACAAATAAAAAGACTTTAACTTGGGGCCCAACTTCTAAATCCCGTTCACCATTGGAGGGTGTTCCACTTTCAACAACAAACTCCAGAAAAATCGGTAGGAGAATGGTTGGAGCCGTTATATGGGACAATACTAAAACCGGAGCCTATATAGACAATTTTATACTACAACGATTGTCCTAGATATTCAATGTTCTGCCACCGGAGCTAGAATCTATTACGAACTCAAAATACCAACTTTTAGATAAATCCGTGGAAAAATGTGGACAAACTCCTCAAAATACCGAATATCGGGAGGTACCCTTAAATTAGAGCTATACGAAAACGTGGACCTATATATGCATTGTTCCGCCAAATACCAATTTTTAGACAAATCCATTAGAAAGTGTGGCTAAAACAATCAAAATACCGAATATCGGGATGTACCGTTATATGAGGGCTATACTTTATGTGGACCGAAATATCTCATTTTCAATACCAACCATACTACACACGGTGCAAATATTTGTGGCAAATTTCGAAGCTACGTCAAATAATGTGAGCTGTATCGTGATTTCAACAGACAGACAGTCGGACATCGTTATATCGACTCATGAATATATATACTTTACAAACGGAACGACAAATTAAATATACCTTTCACATAAACCTTTTCGAAAAGTTTTGAAGAATAAATTCATAGAAATGTGCAATTTCCGCATAAAACGTTTCGTTTCGTTGATGCAGTTCTATTGGCGTACATTTGTTTACGACTGGGCGCCAATTATTTTGTTGATATGTCTAAAATAGATTCATATGTTTGTTTTGTAAGTTTTCCAATAGAACACGTTAAATTTCGCAACAACTATTTATTCTATATTTCCTTGTGTTACGACATGTTAGAAAACACGTTTTTTTTTTTTTTGAACAGCAATATATATTCATATATGTAACAACACATCAAAGACACTAAGTCGCATACACATTGATGTAATTTTTCTTACCTTTGATGCACGTTGCAATTCCTGTTCTTCAATATCACATTTGGGTGTTTTTGTTGCTGCAACATCTTCAATACGTAAATTAGGCATCTTGGCATTATCCACAGCATTGGATGTCTTGTTACTGTTGTTTTTATGCTTGTTTGGTTTGGGCATTGTGGTAATATCGTTGGTAATGTTTGTGAGAGAGTTGGATATGTTTGCGAAATTTTTACTAACAGTGTCAGTAGGTACAGACAGTAATTGAGTCTCAACAAACTCGTTTATAACAAAATTATCGTTTTGGTTGTAATTCAAACATTTTTTTAGTACTAGCGATTCCCGATTCGATTCAATACCGTCCGATTTATTTATTATCAAATCGTCTTCTTGTTCTTCTGTATCACAGTCCGACAGCTTGCCAACGGAACTATTCGTTTGTTCACTAGAACTGTTAATAGAATTTACATCTGCGATAGACGATTGTGCTGGTGGTGGAGGTGTTTTTTCTCTTTGGGCAATTACTACGACTGTCTGTGAGGGTAATTCGTCATCACTTGTTTTGCTGTTTATATTTTTCACATTCTCATTCGACTTCACACTATTTTTAGAATCATTATTTGGTTGTATTATTTGCGGCTGAGCAGATAATAATTTCTTCGAAGCGCGATGTTCTCGACGTTCTCGCGTTTCTTTACTTGGTTTTTCTCTTTTCTTTGTTGCTGCGCTATTAAGGCCCGCTGTTTTGCCAACTTCGTCCGTTTTAGACGATGGCTTATCGGTGACTGAAGCAGCTGTTGTGTCGGCTAAAGTAATTGCCAATTGTTGGTTTTGGTTTAGACTTTTGCTTGTATGGTTTGCAGTGGTTATTGTTGTTGCCGCAGCCGTATTCCCATTCGCTTCTCTTGGGACTTGTGCCGATATAGATGGCATTACTACTGGTACTACTGGTGGTGGTGGTGCTTGCTGAGTTGGTGTTGTGGTTGGTGGAGTTGTTTGACTACGTCGTGCCCTTGGAATATAAACAGCTCTATCTGGACGTCGTTCACGTCTGGATTGCTGTTGTTGTCTGTAAAATTGATATGTATAGAGCAGTTGAGCATTGTATTCATAAACAACAAAAGCAAAGAATGATGATGGGAAAGAATAAAACAAACAAATTTAAATGAGCGAATGTATGTGCATCCGCATGTACTACAAAAACAAAGTGAGTATAAAAACGTTGAACAGGTAAAGAGAATGAACAAAACAGAGGGTAGCAAAACAATGTCAGAGCGATAATTTATTATATGTTAAACGAATATAGAATTTTTCCCAACTTTCGTACCTTAATGTTTGGCTTGTCTTATTATGTATAGTTTTATATAATTTTTTTTAATAATAATGTATGATGATACGAAATTGAGTGTGAACGAATAATACCATTTGTACGAATAATACCATTTTGTACTCAGACCATGAGTTTCTAATAAATTAATGAATATTAAATTGAAATCGTTGACGACTTAAAAACAGCTATTATTATTCTTGGCATACTAAATTTAAAATGTTTTGGTGGTAATAATGGCTAAAGCTTATTCTAGAAAAATCCTTTTTTTCCTTAAATGTGGCATCGTAAAAATCTCATAATTTGAAATACTTTAGGTTATACTAAGTCGGCACTTTAAGGATTCACTCTTCTTAAAAATACCACATTTTCAATTGCAAATGTGCTGCTTACATTCAATATAAATTGTTACATTTTCAGATTTTGTCTACCTTTAACAGAAAGACATAAAATTAGTTTTTATTAAATCGTTGAAATTTTCAAACTAAGTAAAATATGTAGTGTCTTTTGCCAGTAATTGTGTAAGTAATTGTGGGAACGACATTTTTCTTCTAGTCGGTCTACTGATGTTTTGTAAGGAATAAATTTTTTTAAGTATACATTTGTTTTGTTTTATAATACTTGCTCGGTATTGCTTTTCTGCATTTTAATCAATCTAACATAAACGAATTAAATATACGAATACGTCGATTTTTTAAAGACCGCTGTTTTAAAAGATTTCAGTTTTCAATCGTGCCTAATAGTGAATAAACACTTGAAGTAATTTTTATTTGTTAATAAACTTTCGGCTAAATACAGCTTCTTGCATTACTTTGTATGAAATAAACTAAACTAATAATATTTTGACGTTTTTGTTTAACATTTTTCAAGTTTTGTTTAGTTATAACATTCAAAATCCACGTTTTTCGTGCATATGCCTACTTTAGAAAAATTCTTATTCATTTATTTTATTTTATTATTATTAGACGGTGCCAGAAAAATTGTCTAACTATAAATATCTCACAATAATATCTAAGAAGATTCTGGTGAAAAATTGTTAATTTTAAATAGTTCTTAGGAATTTCCATTGTTTCGATCCTGCTAAGGTCCCGCGCTGCCAAATATGTAAATTCCAATAGAAATCAACTTTTCTCAATAAATTTGGCAAAAAGAGTTTATTTATTTAATTTTTATTTATTTATTTTCAATTTGTACAGTAAACTAGCCTATAGGGCCATGGACGGTTCCAAAAACTTGTACATGACTACTCTAAAAATAAATAAATTTGCAAGTCTTGGACGCCTCCACTATATTTTATCTAAAAACTCATGTTCCGATGAAATAATTCATGAACTTTTCCCAACTAAATTTTGAACAAAGGTATCAGAGAAGATCAGTGAATCTAATTTAAGTCGACTTTCATACTTTCTTATGAATGATTTTATTTGTTCAAATATAATATAATTTATTTCAAATTGGTAACCAAGCTTAAAGGCCGCCCAACTTAGGGGCAATTACCCCATAGACTTTTCTATACAAGACATTTTGTAGAACCTTTCCTCTAAGATTTTTGTCCATAACAAATAATTCGTGTAATATTTTCGAAAATCTTCTCTTAAAGAGAGTATGAAAAACCCATTTAATTTAGTATTAAAATTTAAATAAATGAATCGGTCAATCGTTATCAGTAATATAATTGTTATCAGTACATGTTGGGGAACAACTCTAGTTTAGTAAAAACTCTTAGATTTTTTCGAAATTTTTTCCAGAGGTAGGTATTTTTACCCTTATCCCGGGAAACTATTTTTTTCTTGGGGGACGGACCCAGGACCCCAGATTTTTGACCCGAAAGTCCGGGATCAAGACCCCACCTGGACCCGGATAAGTTGTCATGGTTCGGAAGTTATAGTCAAATTATCGATTTTTTGGACCCGGATTTTTTATGAAACCCCCAAAAAGTCAAAAAAGGGCCCATTATGGGGGTCAACAAAATCGTTTCCAAATTATAGCTGACACTCTTACCTTTCAAAAATGCTACAATTTGTGCTAATACCTTTTTCGGGTCCAGAGATATGGGTCTTTCCATCCGCATAACCCGATTCTAACCAGTTCATTAAAATGATGTTTTTAATAAAAAAGTGTTTATTTCGCGTAGCAGTCGTCGGAATAACAAAAGTTTTCTAAATTTGGCTCTTTTTGTAAATAGCCGGCCTTCGGCCGGGTCTTGAGATTTTCACCTATGGGTATGTCCGACACCGGCTAACGCGAACAAAAGGTTCATAATTTCGGCACTTTTTTTAAATAGCCGGCCTTCGGCCGGGGCTTGAGATTTTCTCCTCTAGGTATGTCCTACACCGGCTAACGCGAACCAAAGTTTTCTAAATTGGATACCATTTGTAAGTAGCCGGCCTTCGGCCGGGGTTTGAGATTTTCTCCTCTGGGTATGTCCTAAACCGGCTAACGCGAACCAAAGTTTTCTAAATTTGACACTTTTTGTATATAGCCGGCCTTCGGCCGGGGCTTGAGATTTTCTCCTCTGGGTATGTCCCACACCGGCTAACGCGAACCAAAGTTTTCTAAATTTGACACTTTTTGTAAATAGCCGGCCTTCGGCCGGGGCTTGAGATTTTCTCCTCTGGGTATGTCCCACACCGGCTAACGCGAACCAAAGTTTTCTAAATCGGATACTTTTTGTAAGTAGCCGGTCTTCGGCCGGGGCTTGAGATTTTCTCCTCTGGGTATGTCCTACACCGGCTAACGCGGACCAAAGATTTCTTAATTTCATTCTTACGCAAAATATACCATTTTTTATTGAAAACATAGTTTTAATGAACTGGATAGAATCGGGTTATGCGGATGGAAAGACCCATATCTCTGGACTCAGTGAAGGTATTGGCACAAATTGTAGCATTTTGGAAAGGTAAAAGTGTCAGCTATAATTTGGCATCAATTTTGTTGTCCCTCATAATGGACCCTTTTTTGACTTTTTGGGGGTTTTATAAAAAATCCGGGTCCAAAAAATCGATAATTTGACTATAACCGAACCGTAACATCCTACCCCATCATGTGACCACTTGTTGGATAGGTATTTTCATAAGCTTTCCAACGATACCCATATTGTCCATATCGGGTAAGTGGATCCGGGTCTAGTCGGGGTCTTGAACCCGGACTTACGGGTCAAAAATCTGGGGTCCCAGGTCCGTCCCCCAAGAAAAAAATAGTTTCCCGGGATCATGGTTAAAATACCTACCACTGAAAAAATTTTCGAAAAAATTGAAGAGTTTTTACTAAACTAGAGTTAAGCCCATGTTGGTATACAATTAACCAAAAAAAAATATACAAACAAAACACAATGCTTTTTATCATTATATAGAGTTGGTAGAATAACCCATCAAGTGAATTTGAATGGCTACATTTAATTATTCCCGTTTATTATTTTGTGCCCTTAACTGGTTAACATAAAAAACCATGTCAAAGCAAAAACATACACAGTAAGAAGTTGGAACGTTCGGCCTTCGAGGTCGTTGACTGTATGAAAATGACGACACAAACAATAAAAAATAGTTTCTTACAAACACACAAGCTCGTGGATATTCTCATATAAATACAAGAGTTACACTAACCTTTGCGGTGGTTTACATGTTTCGTCGGCTGCCTCTTGTGATTGTTGTTGTTGGTGGTGTTTTTGTGGATTTGAGTCGAAGCCATTTTGTTGTGTCGAGGTCGCAATATCCACAATGCCGTTTGTATTCGTTTTCCTATGTATTGGTGAGTTATTGCACGATATCGAGGTAGCAAGCGATTCCGACGTCACAGAAGAGGAATGAATGTCATGAAATGTCTCGGTTGCATTACATGCTAACATCCTAGACGAGGACTCGCTGACATTGTTTCGCAATGCCGGTGGTCGATACAAGTCTAGGCTGTTAGATTTATTTACTGAAAAGAAAAGAGACAAAAAAAAACAAATGTTATACATTATGGACGTAGACAGTTGCTTCTTTAAGGATATGTGTGCAGATAGTCCTTTTTCGAAAAACACATAACTAATTCCAATAAATACAAATACAACCATATTTATTCCTATTGCCTGGCTTTGTTGTGGTTTGCCATTCATAAAACACTTTATTATCATTCAACCAAAGTATGAATAGCCATAGCTGGCGCGGCTTGACCTACATAAATGTGTTATTTGTTTTTACGCTCTTTTGTTTTTCTCCCATTCGACGCATTGTTTTTATATGTTAAAAGAGACTGTTAATTGAGAACCATTCACACAGACAAATGGCAAATAAATAAATATAAAAACTGGCAATTAAATATGCTTGACATTCGTTTTTATTATGTTTGACTGCCATGATTTGGCTCATACCATGTCCAAATTCCCGAAAGTAGGGTGCCACAGAGTATCGAGTAATCCACAACAAATGAAGATTCTCAAAATTGAAGGTGAGCATGACTACCATTATGATGCACAAAGAGCGGCAGAGAGTTCAAAGAGAAATGGATTTACAAGTTTACGCATCAAAACAAAACAAAAGCAGGTATGTATGTTGGCTATGGCATCATATTAAATGAGGGCGACCTTGAAATTTGGCTGTATTGTATTTAAGGTGAGTGTAGTACGAGTGTGTGTTTGTGCCTGTTTATCCACATATAGATGAGTTTTAATGTTGTAAAATCCCAAAACACGATTTATTATTGTCGGGGTGGGGGAGCCGGCGTTTGAAAGATGTAGGTTACTACATATTCATCAGGTATTCTGACGTGCGCTTTTTATGGGGTAGATCAAATTTAATATTGACATCAACATTTTGACTTGATTCGAACTTGTACATCCTAATTTTTTGTCAAACATAGATTAAGTTCGTAGATGGCAGCATCATTATACTCCACCCGGTACTGGCTCCCAAAAATTGACAAAATTATAATATTGCTTATCGCACTGAAAGCGGATAGAGTATCCGATTTTGTTTAAAATTGTTATCGCAATAGTTTTATCAGGCATAGGTCAGGTGAGAAAATGGCCGAATCCCTCTGGTACCTCTTGCACCAGGGAAACATTTCGAATCTTTTTTTCAATCTTTTTAGTAATTATAACGTTCATAGAAACACAGTTTACAATATTTATACTAACATTATTAGTGTAAGGTTTAGATTTCTTATGGTACGTCTTCCGAAAAGGGTTGTCATAGATATCTGAACAATTACTCCTATCTACTGCTAGCACTCGAAACCTATTCCCACACACTGGAACCACATTTCGCGGCTTAGTCAGAAGTCTACAAATAAAAACATTACACCGATTTTTAATAAAGTCACGTTGCATAGAATATATTTGCAACTTGTGATCGAATGATCGCAGTAGCAAATCGAGTGAAAATAAAATGTCAGTTTCACGTTTCCCAAGAAATCCGCTTTAGCTAAAATTAGTAAATAGACTTAAATCTTTTAAATCAATTGTTGCTGTTCAAATCGGTTCATAACTGCAAGTCGCCAAATTAATCATTTAGAAATCTTGTCCGAAGCGATCTCTAATTTTAATATGGCAATTTAAGATGGTCAACCACTGCATTAATATATTACCGGTTGAAAAACACTGTTAAATATAAGCTCCTTGTTATCAAAGAGAACACAGATTTTATGTTACATTGAGGATACATCAATCTGTTGACGTTGTATGTGTATCAAGTAAATCAATCATCACGTCACAATGTCCTTCCATAAAATGTCTTGGCTGTTGAAATAAATTTTACTTCGGGTTTCTAGCGAAGTAAATAACATCGGTTTAATCGGCTTGTAGACTTTATATTCAACAAGTAAGCAAAGGCTACAGTCGAGCGGGGCCGACCGTTGAATACCCTACAACACTATAATAAACCATACAGTTTATATAGGCGAGATACTCGAAATAATTCCACAAGATATTGTGACAAATAATAAAAGAAAACCATCATGTTTCGTTCTCTAATTTTCGAATAATAACAACTTAAACGAATTTGCTCATTTCCAATTTATTGTTAGATGTTGCACGTAAATGGTCTTCCTAGATCTGGAACCAATATTTCCCAAAGACCTATAATCTCTCAGAAGTGGCAAAAGATTAACATTTATTATTGGTTTTTGACTGAAACGCATCTATATGAGATACAGACATTTGACTACACTCTACAACGAAATAGTCAGAAGTGCGTCTCTCCTGTATTTGTGAATTCTCCAAAAAGTCACTGGAATCGACATTTTCGTATTTTGTCTACAAAAGTTGGCAAACTATTTCACACATTGAATATTTTTGGATGGCCATCCAAAACTGCTTGGCTTTTGCAATGTGCGGTAACCCCTATTCAAATGTGCGTGAGGATCGGGCGATAATTACGACCTGCTGACAATTTTGCAGTTTTTTGGTCCATTTCAACCCCTAAATATACAACGATCATCTCCAAAAAGAGTAGGCATCTATTCTGACCCTCATCTTCTCCCCATGCAAAATTTCGTAAGGATCGGACCATAAATGCGATCTGTATATGATATCCTGATATCCTAACTACTTAGTTTTGTGAGCTGTAGAAATATTACCAAATGTTTAATTCAAAATGAAAATATGCCAAAAATATGACAAAATTGAAAAAAATATGAGAAAATGTTACAAATCCAATATTTTCATCTTTAGAGAGATATTTTTATGCGATTTTTTAGACGCTTTTTCTTTCCTAACAAGAGGCCATTCTGAAGTAATGAGAACTGTCGAAATCAGTTCAGCCGTTCTCGACATATAAGAGATCTTTCAAGCATATCTTCTTTGATAGACATATATATCGCACATATATCCGATTTGTTGGATGTTAACATCAATGTAAAGGTCAGAAGTAACCTTGTCATGGCTTTGTGATTTCGACGGGATTTAAAATATTCACGGTTTAATGAAAAATGTTGAATTTTTTCAACACAAAATATATGGTCTATTTTACCCGCTCAATATTATCCGATGACCACCCAAATTGGTAGGCTTCTTCCCCGCCCTAAACTCTAGCTACATGCGAAATTCCGCGTCGATTGGTCTATAATTGCGACCTGTATAGCTACTGCAAAATCCGACATTTTTTCAGTATTTGGTCCATTTCAAACCCTAAACATTTGGCGATCATCTCCAAAAGAAATAGGCTTCTATTCTGACCCTAACCCCACCTTCGTGCAAAATTTCGTAAGGATCGGGCCATAATTGCGACCTGTAGAGTGATTACAAATTAACATGGACAGACGGACGGACGGACATACATAGCTAGATCGACTCAGCTCGGCGAGCTAGGAAGATCCATATATACTTTCCTATATGGGAAACCAATATTTCGAGGTGTTACATAAATTCTGGCCCAATCAAACTTATAATACCCCCAACACATAGTGTTGTAGGGTATAATAATACTTAGTTCGTAGCGTATGTAAGAACTAAAGTGAAGAATATACTATAAACTTAAGAAAAATACATGAAATTAGCTATTATCGTTATATGAAGGCTATGTTCACATTGTGACCTATACATATTTCTTTTGAATCTTGTAAGAAAATGATGACAATTGATTAGGTATTATTTTTCGCCAGACATTCTCATAATAATGGGAACACAAAAGAAAAAATATTAATTATTAATTATAATTAATCGATTTAATTTAACGTACTTGCTTTATAAGAGTTGCCATAAAAAATGCAATATTTTTGTAAAAGATCCAGAAACCACCATAAAATCCAGAAACATCCCAACATACCAAAATGGCTTGAGAATAATATTACAATAAGTGTGTGGTGCAAGTATAGAAAAATCGAAATTAAACCCTCATTTATAAGCCTCATATAATAATCAGGATTTTTAGCATATTCATGGTTTTTGAGTTCTGTACGAATGAACAATCAAAGAATTTGCCTTGTTGATGACAACCCATTTTTAAAGTTGTTTAATAATAATACAACGGATTTGACCCAATTTGTAAGCAAAGACAAAACAAAAAATAAATAGCAAAGGTGGGAAGATTCCACTTCAGATACCCGATATGAGTTCATACGTTGTTTTGTGATTATGATATTTTTCACATCTTCAAAATAAACCACATGGCAGTATATGGGATTTGTCTTCTGTACGGTATCTAATTACCACAACAGTTGTCATGCAAGCGACTATCGTACCTCTCTGTGTCTCGAAAAGTTATCAAATCTACAAACACACTGTTTGCTATTATTGCTGCAATCCAATATCATTTTGGTTTTAAGACAAAAACACAACACGAAAATGTGGTACAAATTCATATAGAGATTACACGAAGTATTCATTAGCAACAAATTTGGTGAACATACTGCAATGATTGCGATTAACACATATAATAATATATACAGCAGCAAAACAAGTATCCACTTGAACGACGAAAAGTTTGTTACATATTCAATATTTGAATAACAATTATTACGCATTGACTCACATTTAACATCAATTAAATTCCTTTCGACTCCCATTTTTTTCTCTCGCTTAATATTGTTTGATGAATTATTATTGTTGGTGGAGATATTGAGAGGTTCACTTTGTCGTTTGTCCGATCGCCAACTTTTTATTGGGTTACTGTTGTGCTTGTGGCGTCTGTAAATATATAATAATAATAATATACAATTATTTTTGTTAATTCACATTACTAAAAAATGAACTCACGTTTCGATAGAATTTATCGCTGCATTATCCGTAAATTTCTGAGGATCTATTAGTTGATTTTTGAAACAGACTACTGTTCGGCGGAAAGGACCCTGTCCCACAGAAAATGTAAATATGTCATATTTTTGCCGAAAATTCTCACATGCCTGATGTATTAGGAATCGACGGAAATTGTTAACTGGTGGAAATAGTAAAACACTACAAAAATATGAAAAAAAAAGAAGAACAAATATTAAGTAATTTAGTTCAAAAAGCTCTAATTAAAATTTATTTTTTTTAAATTTAGTTTTGAATTTTGTTCATGTAGCAACTAGGAAAATGTTTACTTACTAGGCCGAGACGATAAAAGAACTATGCAATAGCATAACGGGACCAATGACTATAAATGTCAGGTGACCCTTAAAGCTATCAAGTCAATTGCCTTTAAATAGTCTTGACAGCAAGAAAGCCCTGATTGAAATTCGCGATTGCAATAAGCTTTATCGGGTTCCAGGATATAGCAATATAGTGGGAACTGAAGTGGCTGATGAATTAGGTCGAGGAGTTTCCCAGTTAAACCACCAATAAGCCGGAAGAAGATGACACTTAGACCCATCTCGTTAGGCATACTAAGAATCGCGGTAGGCATATTAATTGACCACCGTAGTATCAGATATCTGACTTCAAGATGGAATATGGAAGAAGATATAGAGGCGATTGAACACCTGCTATGCAGATGTCAAATGTTATTCAACAAGAGACGTCGGCTATTTGCAGGTGAGAGATATAAACTCTAACGTTATTTTCAAACATAGATCTCATCATCATCTACAAGTTTGCTAAAACCTTGTCCCGGCTAAGAAGACGGCACTGCTAACTCCACTCTCTCTCTCTCCATTAACCTTTCCTTCTCTTGGTGGGTATATTTGTAATTCATGTCGCACTTAGCATTAAAAATATTTCAGACAAAATATTTGTCCTTTTCGCCCGCTTCTTTAGTATCCTCCTCTTGCCAATATTAGTTTCGATAATTGTGACCTGTATGTCGATTTCACTATCCTATCAAAATTATGTTCTTGTTCCATTTTATCCGCTGTATATATCGTCTCAATAAATATGTATTAATTCCATTTGGGACACAAAGTCCGTGCAAAATGTCTATTAGTATTGATCGTTCCATAACTTTGGCCTTGAGTATGATTATAAAGCTACCTCGACTTAACTCTTTCAAAATTTATATTATTATATTTGGCTTCCAATTGATTTCATTATCAACAAAATGCCCGTAAAAGTGGTTTTATAGTCCCCACACCCTTTTCAGTTACTGCTTCATTTAAGAACGGCTTTCGGAATATAACCAGCGGTCATTGAACGCACGCTATGTTTGATTCCCATTGTTTATTACATCATCAGGTGACACTCAAGAAACGAGAATCGAAAGAATTTTTTATCGAACGCAACGTTTGAATGAGAGCAACAAAAATAATGAAAGACACAACAGAACAGAATACAAATACAGTTACTCCAATCCAGAATTTGTCGGGTTATTGTTGTAGTACATTCTTCGTCGTTGTTTTATTATATTATGCCTACAACAGATTGTTTATTTTTTGATCTCCGAATCAACAGAGCGAATATATCAAGTATTCTTTTAATTTTTTTTCTTGTAGTGGCCACATACTTTAAGATTGTATTTTTTTTTGTAATAAAAGTAAATAAAATAATAAGAATATGTGTTTCCACAAAGAAGTGTTATCAACAAGATACCAATAGGTAAAAATTGACTCGACTACTCCTATTCTACTCTACTGCCTTTTGTTGAGTTTGGTACCACGTAACTGTACTTTGTTTAGGTTTTTAGAAATGACCTTTTAAGAAGTACACTGCAAGGAGGAGAAGGATTTGAGGAAATATTTTTTAACGATTTTTAGGGATAGAAAAGGAAATATAAATGGAAAAATGGAAATATAAATAATAATATTTGAAGTGAAAAAAACTACAAGAATAATTCGGTTTTAGTGGATCATAAGGTCGAAAAGATCAGGAAAGTATGGATTTCATTCAGAGACCCAAAGAAATAAAAATTCACTTTTCTATAACGTCCGTAGACCAAACGTCCAACTTTTACGAAAACTGCTTTCATTTACAAAGTTCTAGAGTAATTAAAAACAAAGATCCCTTCTTGGAAATTAATATTTTAAAATTTGTACTTACGATATTTGCCTGCGTTGCTGACAGCGCAGTAACTATGACACACAAATACTGCAATAAATTGCACTTTTTCTTTCTTTTTGTGGCCAACATTTACCATTGTAGCCGAAATAAGGCTACCTAAGCTTGAGAAGTAACGTTATAAAGAAATGAATACATTGAACATGTAAGACTCTGCCAACGTAATGATGTTAGCAGCACAAGTCTTAACTATATTTTAGTTGCAGCACCAGTCTAACAAACAGGTCTTTCTGGGTATTATTTGGAACTTGTGGCACAAGGTAGTAGCAGTGGAGTTATTTGCAACCAAATGCAGCAATCAGTATTCGTAGGAAAAAATGCAATAACGCGGAAAACAAATGTAATATGTAATGTTTTGGATAAACTGCAAACTACACTCATTTGTGCACCGTACCGTGGTAAGGTATTCGACACAGCGGTGCATGTAAAAATGTTTTAACGTAAAATAGAAAGAAAAACAAATTAATGCAGCAAATGGTTGTGGCAGTAGATATAAAATAGGAGAAATGTGTGTTACTAAATACAAAAGAAGATGAACATTAGTTGCGATAGAATGAGGCATACGGGAATGTAGATTATTTGAATACTTTTAACATATATGGGGCTAAAAGAATTTTGATCAAGATTGTATAGTACTGGAAAGACTGGAAATGTTTGTTTATCGGGATTAAAATACACCATCTGTAGCGTTCAGCTTAACAAAAATCTGATTTATAGACATTTAGATTATCAACACCGCCGTTAAAAATATGATTTTGGCTAAACTTTAGAGACTACTTCGATATTTACATTTGCGCATTTCGCAAGCTATAAGAATTTATTTTTTCTTCGTAATATTTCCAGCTGAGTAAATACAAAAATCTTAAAGATTTTATTCGGTATAGAATAATTAAATTGAAAATAAGTAAGAATAGTTGTGTGATTCCATGTAACACTCAACCTTTTCTAAAGAATAATTCTATTGGACGTTAAATATCATATAGAATTGCTTCACGTTATTATATACAATTTATATTCAGATTTATCATCAGATTTAGTTTTTATTGAAAACAAAATGTTGCGTCATTGCTCGGTATATATTGTTTATATAGTGTCCATAATATATTGTTTTTTTTTATACAATGGGACTCTTCGAAATCACGATTTCGTTTTTACTAGGACTACATTTACTTAAGCTACTTCTTACAAACTAACAGATATGGGCGGCACTATCACACACTCACGAGATCGTATGATGTGGTTCTTTGTTGTGCCCAAAGGGGATCAGTCAAATGATTGTGCTGTACAGATTTTGTGCTATATACAGATTTTGGGGAGACTATACTTTTGCTTTTTGGGATGAAATGAATTGTAATTGTATTAGGAACCCGATATTGTAAACACGATAATGACGTTCTACTATTTTTTTTCGCGATTTTCTTTAAAATTAAAATATGTGAGAAAAGTGGTAAATGTGAATGAGTTATCAAGTTTAAGAAATTCTAAAATTAAGCTTTTTCGTAAATATAAAAAATCAGGCTTAACAATCGACTACACTAATTACTCTGTTGCTAGGTCTAAATATACTTAAGATTCTCGTAGATTATATAATATTTACCTCGACAAGATTAAAAATAATTTTAAATCCAATCCTAAATTTTTTTTTGATTTCGTTAACCTAAAACGAAAGGTTTCCTCAAAGCCCTCAGTATTGAAATATAGCAATAAGGAATTTTTCACAGGCACTATTCCAGTACATCTTGCCAAATTAAAGATTCGTATTCTAATAAATTGTCCCAGTCTGATCAAATTTGTATGCCTTTTCTACAACGTCAAGAGGTATCCAATAGTCTGCGTAGTTTAAAAGCTATTATATGTCCAGGCCCGGATGGCATACCTTATATAATTCTAATGTATTGTTCAGACACATTTGCACTCCCTTTAACTATATTGTTAATTTTGTTCACCTAAATTTGGTCACTTTCCTACTTTATGAAAAAAACTTATATTATACCTTTACATAAGTCTGGTAGCCTTACAAATGTATCAAATTATAGAGGAACTGCAAAATTAAGTGTCATACCAAAATTGTTCGAAAAATTAATTACTGCAGTAATTTCACTGAAAATTCAATCTATAATGAGTCCATATCAGCATGGTTTTCGTAGTGGTCTTTCAACTACAACAAATCTTATACAATTTATGTCAACAGTAATAAAAGGATTTGTTCAGCGTAAACAAACTGATACAATTTATACTGATTTTAGTAAAGCTTTTGATAGGGTTAACCATGAACTCCTAATATATAAATTGAATTATATGGGTTTCAACACAAACTTAGTCAAATGGATATCATCTTATTTACAAGATAGATCACAACAACCAAAACGATTAACGTTCCATCAGGTGTTCCGCAAGGAAGTCACCTTGGACCGGTCCTCTTTCTTTCATTTAACCACGATTTACCCGATTCCATAAATTACTCGAAATTGTTAATGTATGCAGATCATTTCCCATAATTGTAATAAGCAAGCTAGTTTACTTCAAAACGATTTAAGCAAATGTAAGCATATGTGCTTCTCCAGATCTTCTTCTCTGATATTGCAATATAATATTGACGGTCATTCATTATCAACTGAAGATTCATTTGTCGATCTTGGCCTCTTTATGGATCCAAAATTAAATTTTAATAGCCATGTAATAACAATGGTAAATAAAGCAAATGGTGTTTTAGGTTTTGTTAGACGGTGGGCAAATAATTTTCTGATCCATATATAACAAAACAATTATTTACGTCTCTTGTTAGACCTATATTAGAATACGGTTCTGTTGTATGGGATCCGCAATATGCAATATACTCAGATAAAATAGAATCCGTGCAAAAACAATTTCTGCTATTTGCCTTACGAGGTTTACATTGGAATAGTATTTTTTTTGCCTTATTATGCTAGCAGCCTAAAATTGATTAGATAGAATTAGAAAAAATATTAAATGGTAATATACCTTCA